TGCCATAAGGTGATGAGTGACATTGAGGAGAATTCATGGATTTCTTCTTCGGGAATACACCTCTGAATAACTTGATCGGAGCATCTCTTGAATAGAACTGGGTCATCCCAAAGATATCCTCTCACATCATGTAGGAATTTCTTCTTTTGGTGGTACATCAAGTCCGGTGGCAATAACTTGCAAGCAAGATAATTGACAATGTCCGCATACCAAGAAAGCTTCACCTCAACCTCAAAAAGTTGCTCATCCGGGAGTGCCTCTCAAATAATAGCTTTATTCTCCAATTCATATGGCTCGAGCCTAGAGAGATGGTCCGCCACCACATTCTCACTCCCTCTTTTATCTCAGATTTCTAAGTCAAACTCTTGCAGTAAGAGGATCCAACGAATTAACCAAGGCTTGGCATCCTTTTTGGCAAATAAATACTAGATTGCCGCATGATCAGTGAAAACAATCAACTTAGAGCCAATTATGTAGGAGCGGAATTTGTCGCAAGCAAAAACCACAGCTAACAACTTTTTCTTGGTAGTGGTGTAGTTTAATTGAGCATCATTCAGGAGACGTTTGGTTCATGGATTAGAATCATGTGATTAGAATCATTTTCGATTTACGTATATTTTTTGTGAGAGAAAACACTGTAGCAAACCATGAACCATGATTCAAATCATGGTTTGAATCCTCCAACTAAACATCCCTTCAGAGTTCGGCTTGCATAATAAATGGCTCGAAAAATCTTCTTTTTCCTTTGGCCAAGAACTGCTCCAACGGCATAGTCACTAGCATCACCTATAATCTCGAAAGGTTCCTTTCAATCTGGTGCTACCATAATCGGGGCCGAAACTAGCTTCTCTTTGATAACATTGAAAGTGGCCAAACACAAATCATCAAAATGAAATGTGGTCTCCTTCTCAAGCAAATTGCACAAAGGCTTGGCTACCTTAGAGAAAGCTTTTATGAACCTTCGATAGAAACCCGCATGACCTAAAAAACTTTGAATTCCCTTGACATTTGTAGGTGGCAGTAGTTTCTCAATGGTTGCTATCTTTGCCCGGCCCACTTCAATTCCTTTTGAAGAAATCCGATGGCCAAGAACGATTCCCTCTCGAACCATAAAATGACACTTCTCCCAATTCAACACAAGATTCTTTTCTTCACAATGTTGCAAAACAAGAGAGAGGTTGTGGAGGCAATGATCAAAAGTCAACCCGAATACCGAGAAATCATCCATGAAGACGTTCATAATCTCCTTGACCATACCCGAAAAAATAGTCATCATACACTTTTGAAAAGTGGCGGGTGCATTGCATAAACCAAACGGCATATGGAGGAATGCAAATGTACCATAGGGGCAGGCTAAAGTTGTCTTCTCTTGGTCCTCCGGAGCTATGGCAATTTGATTGTACCCCGAATATCCATCAAGAAAGCAATAATAATCATAACCTGCAACTAGTCTAGCATTTGGTCGATAAAAAGAAGTGAGAAATGATCTTTCCTCGTTGCCTTGTTCAATTTCTGATAGTCAATACAAACACGCCACTCCGTTACGGTCCTTGTAGGAATAAGTTCAATGTTTCCATTTTTTAACACGGTCATGCCCCCCTTTTTCGGCACAACTTGAACTGGGCTAACCCAAGAGCTATCTGAAATAGCATAGATAATACCGGCATTCAACAACTTAAGCACCTCTGCACGCACCACTTCTTTTGTAGCCGGGTTCAACCTTCTTTGATGCTCTATGGACGGCTTGTAAGACTCCTAAGACTCCTCCGTCAAAATATTATGCATGCAAATAGTTGGACTAATACCTTTGATATCCGAGATAAACCAACCCAAGGCGGATTTGTGACTCCTTAAGACTTCAAGCAACTTTTCTTCCTCTTGCAAACTCAAGGATGCTAAAATGATAACCGGATAAGTTGATTCCTCTCCCAAGAAAGCATAACGAAGATGATCGGGCAATTGCTTCAATACCAATCCGTCATGAGGTGAGCTAGATGAAAATGGGGGCACCTTAGAAGTCTCAAGAGCATTCATTAGGTCAAGACCATCCAATTGGCTCTTGGAATTCTCATCACTGGGCAAAGCTTCAAGAGCTAAAACACAATCCAAAATTTCATCATCTTTGGCATAAAGTTCCCTATCAAAGTCCAATTTAGAATTGGAATTAACAAGACAATGTTCCAAAGGATCACAATACAAGGCATCTCGAGTTACCTCTTGGACACAAAAGTCGACAACTTCAATTCGATTGCAAGTGGGCCTTTCATCCGGAAACTTCATGGTGTTGAAGATATTGAACTTGACTTCCTCTTCATTAACCCAGAGAGTCAAATTTCCGCTATGAACATCGATCAAAGCCTTTCCGGTTGCAAGAAATGGTCTTTCAAGGATAATGGGGATCTCCCGGTCTTCCTCCATATCAAAAACCACGAAGTCCACTGGAAAAATAAATTTGTCTACTTTCACCAAAACATCCTCAATAACACCCCGAGGATAAGTTAAAGAACGGTCCCCTATTTGCAAGGAGATAGTAGTTGGTTTAACTTCACCAAGACCCAATTTCTGAAACACCGATAAAGGCATGAGATTTATGCTAGCACCAAGGTCACACAAAGCCTTCTCAAATGTTGAACTTCCAATAGTGCATGGAATAGTGAAACTACCCAGATCTTTTAACTTTTCCGGGAGCTTCTTTTGAAGAATAGCTCTACATTCCTCTGTTAACTTCACCGTCTCATAATCTTCCAAACGTTGCTTCTTAGACATCACCTCCTTCATGAACTTCACATAATTCGGCATTTGTTCCAAAGTGTCCGCAAAAGGAATGTTGATATGAATCTTTTTAAAGATCTCAAGAAACTTCAAAAATTGAGAATCAAGCTTCTTCTTTTGAAACCGTTGGGAAAATGGCAACGATGGAGTAATGATCGGCGGATTGTCCGGAAATGAGATAGAATTTGGTTTTGAAGCTACCTTGGGTGTCTCTTCTACAATTTCATCTTCTTTCTTCTTAGCATTAGCCTCTCGTGGCTTGGGATCTTCAATTTCCTTCCCACTTCGAAGCGTAATGGCTTTGCAATGATCCTTCAGGTTCTTTTCCGTGTCACTTGGAAATCTACGCGGTTGTTGATCCTTAAAAGAGTTGGCCAATTGACCAATTTGCCTTTCGAGATTCTTCATGGTGGTTTCCATGATATTACAATGACCCTCTATGTTAGCAAGCCTTGAGTCACCTTCTTTGAACTTTGAGGTAGTCTCCCTCATGAAAGTGCCCAAAATATCTTCCAATGATTGTTTCTTTTCCGGCACCATTGGATTCACATGTTGGTTGTACCCCGGAGGTGGTTGCAAGGTGTTCCTTTGGTTGGCATATGAGAAGTTCTCATGATTGCAAAGCCCAGGATGATAGTGAGTTGGCAAATTATTTGTGGGCCGAAAGTTATAATTCCGGTTGTTGATGTATTGGCATTCCTCTTGGTTAATCCCCACTTCAACATAGGAGGTGTTCACCACATTAGCCACATCCTTGGTTGTAGAAGGATCCCGAGTGGTCCATGCCGAAAGTTGATTAGTTAAGGCCGATACTTGAGCGAATAATGCAGTGATTGGATCCACTTCATGAACCCTGGCGGCTCTCTTTAGAATCGACCTCTCATTAGGCCACTAGGAATTGTTCATAGACATTTCCTCCAAAAGTAATTGGACTTCCTCGGCGATTTTAGATAGCAAAGTACCACCGGCCACCGCATCAAGAACTGTCCTTGTTTGCCCATTCAACCCATTGTAGAATAACTGTATCTGAAACCACTCCTGATAACCATGTTGAGGACATCTCCGGATGTGATCATTGAATCGCTCTTATGCCTCATAAAGAGGCTCAAAATCTAACTGTCTGAATTGGGCAATCCCACTCCTTAACTGAGTTGTTTTCGAAGAATGAAAGAACTTGTTAAGGAATTTCTGAGCCAATTCGTCCCAAGTAGCCACACTCCCCGGAGCTAGTCCTTGTAACCAACCTCGCGCCTTGTCCCTAAGAGAAAATAGGAACAAGAGTAGTCGGATCACATCGTCTCCAACACCGTTCATCTTCATTGTATCACATATCTCCAAAAACATTGCAAGAAGAACATTGGGGTCTTCATTCGATGACCCCCCGTATTGGTTTTGTTGCCCCATGCTGATCAAAGCTGGCTTCAACTCAAAGTTATTAGCATTGATCGTTTGGCGCCGGATCCCTGAGTAGTTGTCATTCAACACCGGCCGGAAATAATCCCTCAAGGTTCTTTGTTGATTATTATCAACGGCATTGTTGTTGACATTATTGTCGTTGTCGCCTTGTGCATCCGCCATGACTCGAATTCTTGCCCTTCGTTCTCTCCGATTTGCACGACAAACTCGTTCAATTTTCGGATTATACGGTAGCAAATCCAAGCTCCTACTTCTTCGCATTCACTGCCAAAGTAACAATAGGCAAAATTAAGTAAATGATCGCAAAAGTAACTACATTTTAAACAAACACATAAACCACAATAATTAAAGAGTGATTAGGTCCATGAAGACAATACTTAAAACTTATTATTTGTAATTTAAATTCACTCATCGGTTCCACTTTCTATGGGTAGTATTGACACAAATGCATATGTACTGTCATTCCAAACAACGAATGCAGTGCGATCTCAAATTTTAAGAACAAGTTATGACACCTAAAAAGGGGATGTATAAGTCAGAATTACTTTTCTAATTGCTTCTTTACATTTTGTCAAACCTTTTTTTTTTTTTTTTTTTACATGCAATATATTTATTAACAGTCGTGAAGTTTTGGAATGCCACCAAAATAAAATATACTTTGTTGATTTCCGTTTCTAATTAATAGGTTCTTAGTACACTCTTTTAAGTAATTAATTTCACCATCTGCTTAAAATAACCACTTCCGACCATCCGAGGCTAATTGCTACACCAAAATTCAATAACTGAAAACTTCAAATCTAAGAACAACATAGTTCAACCAAAAATCAATTTTTAGAAGATTACACAAATAACACAACCTTAACCCCTTTGATTAATAACTGAGGCCTCATTCACGAATTATGATGTTTTGACTGCAATAGAACAAATCCAACAATAACAGACAGTAGAAGGAAGAAAGCAGCGAGTAAGATGTTGACATTAGCAGACTTAATTGTTTTGGCACCAGTTTCCCCTCTATGTGTCTCAAGTGGACTACTACTATTTGAAGAAGAAGAGGATGCCGGGCCGAGCGGTGCAGCCACATCCCAAAAAGATCTTGCAATTAAAGTAGGCGCTTCTACCTCAGGTTCCAATATTGTCAAGCTATCAAGTGTAGTTTCCATGGATAACAACTCTTTGCAATGATCTTTTAGCACCTAAAAGAGCATAAAATGCACAAGGTCAAGAATAACCGAGGAAAATTCTTTATCAGAACATTACTGCATTGAAGTGATACCCTCACATAAGAGTTATGACATGGTAAAACAGAAGACCTCTACCTGCCCAAGATTGGGCAATCCCAGACTAGTACATACAAATATATGTTCTTTAACTTTTAAGAGTAGTTGCATGCATTTCCAGAAGTACAAACCTCAAGCGTCTCGGATGATTGTAGATAGTCACATACAAGCATGCCCGCCAACCAAGGAATAAAGACTCTTCTGGGAAATGAAACGTTGCAAGTTTTTCTGTTAACAATGAACAAAACGTAGTCAGAGTGGCATTCCATCACTTGCTTCACTGCTATAAACATAAACATCACACCTATAAAATGCACCTTAATAAGTGTATCGAAAGTTGGGAAACAGGATTTTCCGTCGACATTCCATCGCTTGCTTCCTTGATTTCAGCATCACTTGGACCTGTGTCTCCATCTGCCTCATCACAGATGATATCTAGTCTACTTTGCAGGCTGAGGATAATATCTTCCTAAAACAGGAAAGTATTTAGTATCACAGACGATTCGGGCCTCGCAATAAATAGATTACAATAACATACTCAAGTATGCAACAAAAAGTTTGTAAGGGAATTACAAAAAATAAAAAAAAATAAAAAAGGAACCAGCTTTAGCCTAAGATGAGAAAAAGAAAAACGGGCTGATGAATAGCAAAAACAGTAATAAAATAGATGACAGATAACATTAGAAAAGACTAGTGGGAAAAAATATATATAAATTTATACAAGCGGCTAAATCAAGATTAACATTCCAGTAAATAAAGAATGGGGTGAAACTGGAATACCTTTATTTGGGCAACGGCTTGTGAAATTGGTTCTTTTGAGTTTAAGTATGCATAAGAACACACAGAGCCACTAAAAGCAATAACACCAGTGACTTCTTTTTGGTTGCCTGCTTGAAAAGTGTAGACAAGTAAAATTATGACAGTCGAAGCATTATAAAAATAATCTGGTGTGAATGAATTTGACAACATACCTTCAGTTGAAGCATTTTTCATGAATGGTAGAAGCAATTCAACTTCATGCAAACCATCTGATGTACATGGCTCATCATTAACAACCTATAGTTGTAAGGCAAAAGGAAACTTCAGACGAGAATTTCGTATGAGAAGAATCTACTAGAAACTGATGTCAATTACGTTTATCTGGTTCTGGAAAGAATGGGGCCACTTGAAAATATCGATGGAGTCTATTTGAAAGAGCTCAATATTGGAGTGCTACTTACCAAATTTCCATCGATAACGGCTTTTGCACTTTTTAGCTCTTTGGCATGAATAGAAATCACATGACGAAGAACATCAGTTAAGGTTCGGACATTTGATGCATTCTTGTATATGGGCAATCTGGGATAAGATAGCTCTTCCAGTAAGACAAAATCGAAATAGCACGGTTACCATGATGGTTTCTTAAATCACAGAAAAGTCCTTTAACAATGATAGGCAATTCATGAGAACCAGAGAGAGAGAGAATGAAGAATAATAGGGGAGGATGTTACCTAAGATCAAAGTTGTACATGCACTTAAACGTTTGAAGAGAATTTAAGACCTTTCCCATTTTAAAGTCGCAAGGTCGTAGATTGCTTGAAGTAATATTTGAAGCCAATGAGCAATTTCGACATGTCCACCTAAATAAAACAAATCTTTCGTCAGTGTGTTCCCTTTACAAAATATTACAGCCTTGTATAATGGGTATTGAATATAATTCTAAATACCTCCTTGGACTGTAACAGATGTGAATAAGAATTCTTTCGTCCAAGTCAGTGTCTGAGAGTGATGCTGCATCTGCAACGGCCTTTACAGTCTGCAAAGGCCACTCCATTAAGAATAAAATTCCTTACTCTGTATAGAATTGACAATTTGACATAGGTGAACCTTCAAATAGAAACTAAACAAAAGCAGCCAACACATGAATGTTCACTAGCCCTTCAACGGGTGAAATTCTACAACTGGTCATCACCATGAAGCTCGCATAAGACGAAGACAGTTTGTACCAGAAAAATTTAAGCACAAATTCAAATAACCTCTTAATTTCAAAGATCAACTATATTACTCTTGGGAAATGGTACATTTTCAAACTTTAAAGGCTTGTTTGTTTCATATACTCAAAGTCAAATCATTAATTCTGCTACAGTGTTTTCCTCTCACAAAAAATTTGAATTTCAAACGTCAGAATCAAGAATCATGATTTAAGTATACATTCCAAACGGACCCTAAGCAAGTTATCCATAAAAACTGAGAAGGCCAGAAGGGCAATACCTAACTATCATTTCCACCAGATCAAAACAGTACCAGCAGTTAAATGCTAAAAGCTTTACTACATAAACATCCCAATTCCCAAACATCACTCCAGAAGGGCAATATCTATCAAAAACAGTATCAGCAGTTAAATGTTAAAAGCTTTACTACACAAACATCCCAATTCCCAAACATCAAATCGTCACCTGGCAAAGCATAATGGTTGAATTCTTGAATGCACTATCGCCAACCCACACATAAATTCCGACAACCTTCATGCCACCCAACAACATTCTGGAGACCTAAAAACACAAAATTGAAGAAAACCATGAATACTCTTTTAAACACATTAACATAACAAGCAAGACCCAGCAAATAAATCAAAACTGTGAATTTTTACAGAAGCAAACTACACCCAAACGATGAATTAAGTGACCTAAAACCTAAAAGCACATAATTGGATAAAATCAAGCACTCTTCTAAACACACTAATGTAAAAAGCAACACCAAGTAAATTTAAAATGTAAATTTTTCACTGATGCAACTAATCTCTAAAGGGGTAATAACAAAAATCTTTCCCATATTTTATCAAAATTTTACGCTCCATCCTATGTTTTGAGAAATATTGCATTATCCCCACCGTTTTACGAATCATGCTAAACCCTTACCATGGGAGAGGTTTTTAAACATCATTTGTAAACCATTCCTGTCTGTATGATAATTTAGAGACTTGAAGCCTAAAAGCACGTATATCCACACTCATGAACTTAACATCCACGAAATACAAAAGCCAGTTGAGTTTTGGGGGGAAAAACTGTAACAATGGTGATCAATTACAGTGGAGAAGTGACCTGACGAGCGTGTTCTGCTACCCAATCATTGTCGACCACCAAAGAGGAAGAATCAGTGGCCTGAGATTTGGATTTGGATCCCTTCTTCTTGTCGTCCTTGGAAGGTTCGAGAAGAGAACAAGCAGGCACTCCGGCATCGTTAACTGGGGTCGGGACCAAATCGAACACGAAGCCTCTGTCAAGATTCGAGCTGAGTTTGCCGATCACCAGTCCTACCTGAGAACTCAACCGAAATGAGAGAAGAAGAACAGAAACCCTAAGTTTCAGAGCGATTCAACAAAACATGCGATCATGGAGGGGGAGAGAGAGACAGAGAGACAGAGAGAGAGAACCTGAGCAGGAATTGCGGATTGGGCGAGACGATCTTCGGCAAGTTTGAGGTGCGATTCCTCTCCAACGACCGCTTTCACCATTGTTGGAAGCTTGGAGCGATTCCAATTGATCTTTACTCGGCGAAACCAACGATACGAATGAATGAGAGTATCTTTTATTATCAAAAAAAAAAATCCAGAGTTTGAGAAGGTACGGGTGAATCCGGACGACCGGAGGGAACTTTGAGAAAAGAACTACGTGTGTCGTTTCGGACTTTTTAACCTTGTTTAAAATTCATCCCGTTTTAATTTTTTACAAATGAAATTTTTAAAATCGCGTTTTACGTAATAAAGATAAAAAAAATATAAATGAAAATAATTTTTTCATTATATAAAATGAGATAAATAAAAAATAATTTTTAGGGTGCGATTGAAAGAAATTTATTTTAAAATGATTTTATTTTTTATATGAAAATAGAAATAAAAACGTTTTCAATCTCAAACATAAATTATTTTTAAAAATGCGTTTGGTAGTTTTATTAATAAATTATTTTCAGTATAAAAAACTCATTAATATTTCTTTCTCCCTGCTCGAGAGAGGAGAAAATGAAAAAAAAAAAAGACTAAAAGTCATTTTTCATTTCTCTCTCATTTTACACTAAACCAAAAAATTATTTTCATTTCTATTTTTTGTCTTTATTGCGCTAAACTCCGTTTTAAAAACATTTTTTTTAAACGTGAAAAAAAACGATATCAATTCCAAACATGGCCTTAGTCATTTTTTATTTTTTGTTTTCATTTTTTCCTCTCTTGAGCAGAAAGAGATATTAATGAGTTTTTTATACTGAAAATAATCTATCAATAAAACTATCAAACACATTTTCAAAAATAATTCATGTTTGATATTAAACATATTTTTATTTTTATTTTCATATAAAAAATAAAATTATTTTATAATGAGTTTCGAACACGTTCTTTATTTTTTCAACTAATGTATTTTTCTGCCTAGAAACACGTTTTAATAAACGACAACGCGGAATTCGGAGAAAACGACACCGGTTTAATTTACAGATAAAACAGCCGCAAATTAAGAAGATTAAAACAAGGAGTTACTTTTCATTTATGCCCTAAAAAAAAAAACAAAAAAAAAAAAAAACCTTTACGATAGAAACAACATGTCGTCTCTTCATGCAAAGGAGATGTTGTTCATCCTCTTAAACGACGACAAGCACTTGCATATAATTCACATGTATGTTTTTGAGTTACATCATAAAAGGATAGGTTTGTTTGATAGTATTAGAGCATAATAATACAATAATATAATGCTTAATGTGACTATTGTATTGTATAAACTAATATGATCTATATTGTACTATTTAATACGGTTCATTTTTAGTACACTGTATTGTATTATTTTATAGTGTATTAATGATTCATATAGAGGTTGGGTACAATTAGAGGTCGGGAACAGGTCGACATACGATCATGTTAGAACCTATAATTGTTGAAAAATTAGGGAACATAATGCAAATTTTATATTTATTAAAATTACATTTTGATCTCAAAACTTCTGTTAAACTACATTTGACCCCAAAACTTTTGCAAAAATACATTTTGGCGGTAAAATTTTTATAAAATTTCATTTTTGACCCAAAACTTTTGACAAAATATATTTTGACCTCAAAATTATTAAAATTTTGCATTTTGACCCCTTTTACAATACGTCATGACACCAAATATCGTATTATATTATGATCATAATATAATACAGTGTTTAGTGTTATAGCGTATTATATAATTGGTCAAAATGTAAAATTTTAGTCAAAATGTAATTTTTAAGAAATATTGAGGTCAAATTTATAATTTTTCAAAAAATTTAAGACCAAAATATAACTTTTCAAAAACTTTGTTATGAAAATGTAATTTTTAAAAAATTTTGGGGTCAACATGAAATTTTATAAAAATTAAAAGATCAAAATATAATTTTTTTTAAATATGAATTTGTATTGTGCCCCTTAACTTTTAAACAATTTTGTAGGTACTAGAAAGACCCTATGTTAGCCTGACCCCAACCCCTAGTTTTGCCCAACCCTAACATGAATCACGGATCTGCTATAAAATAATACAATACTAAAAATGAGTCATACTCTATAATAAGACATAAAATGTATTAATGTATCATCCATATTAGTTTATACAATAGAATGGTCATATCAAATATTGTACTATTGTATTATTTATTATACAATACGGTGCTCTAATACGATTAAACAAATATGTCCTAAGTAACAACAAAGTGATAAAAGTCTCTCTCTCTCTCTCTCTCTCTCTCTCTCAAGTGGTCCGGCTAGGGTTTTTGAGTTTACGATCCCTTTTTAGAGCCAGATTTTGGCATCGTATATGGCTGGTCACAGGACGGTGGCTAAAGTCATGCGGATCTGGTTGGCTATTGATAGACGTGGTCTGGAGGCAATGGATGCGTAAATCTGGCGAGTTGGATTCTAGTGGCGTTGTTGATCTAGGGTCTCGACCCCCTCATCGCATGGTTTGAGGGAGGGGCGGTGGGTGTCTTAAGACAACTAATATTAGAAGTAGAACTGGAGGCATGGTGACTTCCACTAGTGCGAGGGGCGGCAGGTTTTCAGCGGATTTCTGATGTGGGGCTTCATTCGGGTTGCTTTTGCTTTTATTTTCGTCAACGGTGGTCACGATTCTTCTATGGTGACTGCTCACCCGTCTAAGTCGACAGTGTGCATGTTCATTTATGACTATATTTGTTTATAGGTCTCATCACTTGTGTCCCTAGTATTCGGGTTATAGTTTTGGTGACTGGTTTTATCCATAGACTATAGTGGTTTTTTATAACAAGATTTGGCCACGCTCGACTTTGTTTTTGTCGAGCGAGTTTTTTCTTGTTGAGTCTCAGCGTTTGTGTTCACCTTGTGTTTCATTCGCTTTTACCGGTGGATCTAGTCAATGTTCATGATCGAATTTTCTTATAGTTGGCGGTCATTTACCGTTATTATTACGTATGTAATTTGTTGAATTGGAATGAAACTTTTCCATATATATATATATATATAACAATGCTATTAAAAAGTCAACATAATTATTGGTAGATTTATTTAATATTCAGGGTCGAATTTTTTTGTAGTTAGTGGTAATTTATTACTATTTTTACGAATGTAATTTGTTAAATTTAAAATGAAACTTTTTTAAAAAAAATAGTAACAACGATGTTAAAAGGTCAACTTAGTTAATAATATACTCTAGATTAAAAAAAAAAAAAAAAACAGAGAGAGAAAAGTGTGGTGTTATTATTTTTCAATTTCGACAATGTATATATGTGATTATCTATGCATTATTCCACAATCCCTGTTATTACTTTCACTTGCCCTTTTTTGGTCAATATTTCTATTTATAAATCATAAACATTATACTATGGAGATAACAATATTGTATACGCCTCATTGATTTTGCTTCCTAGAAGAGTCACTTTACACCTTTTGACCATTTGGGGTTGTCTATAGATAAAGAGTCCCATTCAAAAATGTCTAAATCTCAACGCATATGATATTTTTGTACTCTTCCTACATGCCCAATAAATAAATATGTTACCCATTACTTAGTTGTGGAAGTGATTTTAGTCATAACCAACCAACTTAAGCCAAGTGTCATGGACTTGGATAATTTGATGTCACATGGTTGGAATGCATCTAAATTGGTGGGCCATGGGAGTAGAAAGTGTCACGGTTGGTTCAATCCAAATATCTTGCTGCAAGCTTTTTCAAGACTTGGGCATCATTCTTTAGCAGAGAGGATAAGTACAAACAGTGGCCCGCATGACATATCACAGAAGTTCCACAGAACCCCGGAAATTTTGCTCTTTTTTCATTTTGTTGGAAAGAAAGGCGCAAAATGGTTTCTATTTGCACAATATAGTGGCAAATTTAGGGCTCAGTGTTTCCTATGACCAAATAATTGATGCTTATTAAGGAAAACTAAAATTAAGGCGAGCTAACATTACCATAAATTACCATGGCTCATTTTATAATCCTACATTTTTTTAAGCCACCCATACGTTAAGTTTAAAATTTATACCATTGCTTCTTGAGAGTTTCTCTAGTGTACCTCCATATTTTGAACTATTGGTAGGACTTAAAATTTGTAACCGTTTGATTGAAATTTTGTGGTTTAGATTTGAAGAAGACACAGGTAATATTAATTGAGGTGTATGCGGGGGAATATTTGGAGTAAAAAGTGATGCGGAGGTTTTTTGTCTTATTTTTGAAAAATTAGAAAAGTCTTGTTTATTTTATGATTTAAGTTTTTAATTTAAATTTTATTATAATTAAAAGTTATTAAAATAATTACATCTAATTATATTATTATATTTAAAATTTTTTATATAAAATTACATTTTAATGATTACTTTTGTTCTTCACTTCTTCGGTCTCTTTGTTTTCCTTGCTCTCTCCCACCTTTCCGGCGTCAGCAACCCTCCGATGAAAGCACTTGAACCACCTCCAGCATTTTCAATGGACACCGGATCTAGATGGTTCCCTATTTTTTCTTTTTTTTTTCAGGAAAAAGTTCTTCTTGGCTTGGGGTATATATGCCTTTGTTAGTCTTTTTCAGATCTGAAACATTTTCTCCTTTAAAACCTGTCCATGCTATATATCTCACTGGAACATGAGCAAAATTTTCTCCTTTGTTAGCCTTTGACTCTGTTGCTAAATTCCACGGGTAAATATTCAGAAAATAGGCACAAGGGGAAAAAAAAAAATAATGATCAACAGAGCATGAGCGTAAGCCCATTATAAATATATATATATATATATATATATATTTATATATAATAAATAATAAATATAAAAAAAAAAAGAGAATATGGGTTCATTGATTTTACAAATTTAAGTTTTTAATTAAAATGTGATGTTTTTAAAAAAATTTAATTATAATAAAAAAATTAAATATGATATTTTTTAATTGTATAAATTTAAAATTAAAAATTCAGTAAAATGATAAATCTCGTTCATTTTACCGATTCAAGTTTTCAGTTTTAAGTTTTTACAGTAAAAAGCTCTCAAAAAATATCACATTTAACTTTTTTTACTACAATAAAAAAACTCTTAAAAAATATCACATCTCAAC